TTAAATTGATTTTTCAAATTACTTAATCAACTAATCTAAAATAGACTTTATTAACAACAATTTTGATTAATATATTTAATTATATCTTTATATTCAAATAAGTATTACATTTATATATAACTATATTAACCTATTATTTAAGATTATTTATTCTATTTAAAATATTAAAATTACAATCCTATTATTAATAGAAGATTCTATATAGCTAGACATATATATACATTTATATTGAAAACTTATAGAAAGTATAAAATGGTAATTTGAATAACAATAGTAACCAAAACTTTAATCAGAAATCTGTTACTCCTATTTTTTCCTATATTAATTAAGCTAATTATTGTAAAAGTTATTTATATTCTTTAGGTAATTCTCTAATATCTTCATCCTAAATCTATTAGAGTGTAAAGCAAAAATTATTTAATTATGTGTAACTTAGTATTCTATCAGTGATATTTAATATTTTTTTATTTGATAATTTCGTAGATTTGAGGGATTACATATTTTACTTTTATGAATTTAATTTATCATGTGTTATGCATTATAATTAAGGATTGTAAATCTATGAATAATAATTTTGATTCTATGCAGATGATTTTGTATTACATTTCTCTTGTAATTGACTTTTATGTTTGGATAAATTAATTTTTTATTTGAAACCTGAATTAGACTTTTATGGTGAACTCTGAGTTTTAGTATAATTTTTTGATGGACTTTTTGAACATTCAGTTTTTTAAATATCTGCTTTTAGTTTCCTCCTAAAATCATTAAATTCTTGTAGAAGATCATTAGATTTCATATGACAGTTAATAATTAATATAATTTGTTAATATATAATATATTTTAATATAAATTATATTTATTTCAATGACAGACACAGCATAATAAATAAATGTAAAATTATGTGACATGTCGAGTGAATTATTAAAGGATGCTTAATATATTATTCTTGAAAATCTTAAAAAGCATAGCAATGAAAGAGATATTGCATATTATATAAAAAGAGAGTAAATTTTTGAACAATTAATAGATTGGATAAAAGACATACAGGCCCTTGGCATTGTGTGGTTGGGAAAAATTTTGGGGTCTTTGTAACACATGAAGAAGGATATTATTTGTAAGCAATAAAGGGATAAATCACTATAGTGGTATGGAAATGAATAATATGAAACTTCCTTATTTTATAGTTTAAATTATAGATATGTAAATATATCTTCAAATTAATTAACAACATATTGGGCATTACTATTTAATAATAATCCATTATTAAAGAAAATGATCATGAAAATGATGTCTAGATTGTTAAATTAATAATTTATTTAATACTGCATACTAATTATACAAATAAATCATTATATGCATAAACACACATATAAATTTACATTATTAAATGGAAGTAAATTCAGAAAAACACTAATTGTAAAATTTATTCATATGTTTAATTTACTCTAAAACAAAAAAGAGTAACAATTACTTTGGTTAAAAGTCTTTAATAATTTTAACTATAGACTTAAATATCAATAAAATGAGTATTATAGGGATATACAATCCTATAGATATGATAGCTGATTCATTATACTCAAAGCTTAACCTTAATGTATAATATCATATTAAGTGAAGGATAGTTTGATTCTACTTATCTTATATCTCTTGCAGATAATTTAATTTAGTTCCTTCTGAAGAATTAATTAGAAATTATTATTTTACTTTTTTCTTTCTTCTATTCTAAAGATTCATTTGAATTTTTTTATTATAATTATGCCATAACGAATAAGAGGATATCTTTGGAATTCATATGTAAATAAATAGAGCACGGCTAAATACTTAAAACATTTATTAAGTAATTTGAACTTTTTTTATTCTTCCTCTTTAGAAATCTTATTGTCTTTGTTTTAAGATGTTTCATCAAGCTCTCGATTCATTATTTATAATTATTGTTAATATATATAATAAGTAAAAACTTGAAGTAAGAATTTCTTTATGATTGTTTTAAATTACTATATAAATTATTAAATAATTGTTATGTATGGTTTGAATTATAGAATTCCTCATTCTAGATAGGTATCAGATTAAGGATAAAGAGAAGACAAATCTACAATTAAATAAGGGAATCAGGGAGCATAGATAATTCAAAATAATCGGTATTTTCAAACAGTTTAATTGGAGTAGGATAGAATAAAATGATCATTCTCCTTCACCATTATTTCATGGAATACAGAAATTTTCAGTTTAATCAAGTTAATCCACATCAGCAAATCACTCAAAATAATCTTCAATATCAAAGCCAAAATAAAATTAATAAATGTCATTTCTAAATTATTTGATGCTTAAAAAAGAAGATGAATAATAAGAAAAGCAAATTACATAAAATCAATAGAAACAACAATCTTTTTTATAAAATAATTATTTTGTAAATGATCTTCAAATTCAAAGAAATATGTTTAATTTTCTTTATGTAATTGGTGTTGGTGGATTTGGCAAAGTGTGGAAAGTAGAATAAAAAAAGACTGGTTAAACCTATGCTCTTAAAGAAATGTCAAAAGCATTGTAATATAGATTTTATTGTTATAAGAATTATTGCAAAAAAAAGTGTTAATTCAGTTATGAATGAAAAGAACATATTAAGTAATCTCAAACATCCGTATATTATTATTTATTATAAATAGCTATTTGGTTAATATCTATTATGCATTTTAAGATAGAGAAAATTTGTTTTTGGCATTAGATTATATGTAGGGAGGTGATTTAAGATATCATCTAGGAAGAATGCGTAGATTTAGTGAAGATTAAACAAGTATATTATTTAGTGTAATAAAGAGGATTTTTTATGGCTTGTATATTTTTGGGTTTAGAATACATGCATTCCTAAAATATTATTCATAGAGATATAAAACCTGAAAATTTAGTACTTGATAAAAATGGTATACTATAAAAAATAAAATAGGTTATGTTAGAATAACTGATTTAGGAATAGCTAGAGTTCTAAGACCTGATAATGCTCAAGATACAAGTGGTACACCTGGATATATGGCACCTGAAGTGATGTGTCGATAGAATCATTCATTTTCTGTTGATTACTTTGCTCTTGGAGTTATTGGATATGAATTTATGTTAGGAAGAGTAAATAGATAATTTTAATATTATATAGAGACCATACACAGGAAGAACTAGAAAAGAAATTAGAGATTAGATTTTAGCTAAATAAAGTCAAATTAAAAGATCTGAAATTCCTGATAATTGGTCTTTGGAATCAGCAGATTTCATTAATAGAGTATTAATACAAAATTATTAAGCTTATATAAAGGAAGCCTTCTAATCGTTTAGGATTTAATGGGGCTTAAGAATTGAGGCAACATACATGGTTCAAGAATTTTCCTTGGTAGAAACTATATAATAAAGAGTTAAAAGCTCCATTTATTCCTCATGTAAATAAATTGAGATTGATTTTATAGTAATCTGAGGATAATTTTGATGCAAGATAAATATCAATTGAAAATGAAGAAAATACAGAATTAATTTAATAGAATGCTATGATGCTCAGAAGAAATTCAATATAAAGTATTTATTTAATAATCTCAAGCTTAATTTGATGGATATGATCTTAATAACTTTACTTAGACATGTGAGCCAATCAAATAACAACTTAATAATATTAATTATTGAATAATCTAATTTATTTAATTTAATTTTTTATTCTAATGGATGAAGAAATTTTAGATAATTTATAAGCAGTAGAAGATGATGATAATGAAATTTCTAATTTTCCTTTATTTTAATAAAAACAAATTGGTGAATTTATCAAAAAGATACTTGGTGATAATATAATAGCTTAAAAAGCATTTCGAGATAAATTTAATAGATGTTTAAGTCTTTTTGTGTTTTATTTAACTCATATGTATTAAATTCAATCATTAAAGGATAACAGTAATGAAAGAAGACAATAGAAAGAAAAAAAATGAGAAAAAAAAAGTCTAAGTAACCAAAGAGGATATCATAATGACTTTAAAATTGATTGATTTTTAAGATATAGCTGAAACTCTTGAAAGTATAAGAATAACTTATATTTATTAGATTAATAATTTTTGCAATTTTCTTAAGAAAATGTGATTTAATAAGTGAATTAATTAGATTAGGAAATAGAAGAAGATTAAATGCGGGAAATATAAAACATTGAAAATGTAGAGGATGAATAAAAAGAAGAAGAGAATAATGATGATAATGAAGAGATTTAAGATTAAGTTGAAGAAGAAATTGATGATGAAAATGATGAGGATATTTAGAATAATGAAAATAATGAGGATAATGAAAATATTGAAAATAATGAAAATGAATAATAATGAAATTTTGAATTCTTGATGATAAATACTTTTTTGTGTTTTATTAACAATTTAATTTAAAAAAAATGAAAAAGAAAAATTTATTTCTTGCCAAGAAAGCAGAAGATAGTACTTTAAACTAATATTGGTTTTCAGAATAAACAATTGATTTCTTGGTTGATCATATTGAGTCAATTTATTAGAATGGATAAAAGTTAGCATTCTTATCAACACCATCAATTTATTGTAGTTTAAAGAATTAAGAAGTTAAATAGAATTCATCACTTTTTGAATTTGATCTAAAATTGAATAAAGAGAAAGGGTTTGTTTTTTATGATTTCAATAAACCAATAGAAGGCTTAGAATAATTCAAAAATACTTTTGATATAATTTTGATTGATCCTCCATTTATAACCGAAGAAGTGTGGAGTAAATATGCTCAAACTATAAATTATATAAAGAAGGAAGATGCTAAGATTTTATGTTGTTCAATAAAAGAAAATGCAAAAATGCTATATGATTTGATAAAGGTAGTACCATAGTAATATAAGCCATCAATTCCTCATTTGATATATTAATATGACTTTTATTGCAATTATGAACATGAGATCTTAAAAAAAGTAAACGAAGAAATAGGATTTTGAATAATATATTCGAATTAAATATGAGATAATATATTACTAATATACCTATATTACTTTAATTGATATATATATTATCAAGCTTTTTATTTTGAGTCTAAATGTCTTTTTTTTTGTGATTCCTTGTCCATGGGTAACTAAAATAATTAGAATTATATAATATACTTTCAATAACTCTTTAAGTGTTGCATCATTAAGATCATGAGCAGGTTTAAATTTGGTTTCATCTAATTTAAGTCCAGAAACTTAAAGTGTGCTATTAGCTAAGACAGCAACAGTCATTGTGAATTATGCTACAATACTATTTGGACTGATTAAAACTGGATATGGGTTTAATAATTCATGTTTAGCACATTCTTAAACAGCTAATTTAGCAGTAATTTCATCTTCAAATGATCTTAATGAGAAACATAAAGATGGGTATTTATCATAGACTTCTTACATGAATGCTCTTCCATGTTTAGTCTTTAATTGATATTATCTATCCAAAGCTCTTTTGTAAACAGTAGTTCTTAATTCAGACTAATTTAATTAAATGATTTAATACTTCTTTTGTTTTTCCATCTCCTGTTGTAATATAGACATCTAACACAATAACATCATTAACTTAGATTTCTTCTTCATCTACTCTTTATTCTTGTGTTTCTCTATTGATAATGACTTTATTTCCATCAATAAAGTGTCTCTTAACTTCATGACTTAAAACACCCTCTAATGGTGTACATTTGTGATCATCTGATATTTATTAAATAATTTTAGTTAAAGCTGTATTTGTGACTCCTGGTTTTATTGATCTAAATAAAGCTTAGACTGATTAATAGGCTGCCAATATGACATCTGCCTTTTATCCTTCTACTTAATCTTCACCTACTACTACTGTGTGTGCTGCAATGGCAATATATCCATCAATATGAACTCCTAATTCACTATGACATTATTATTAACATTTACATTTTGGCTACATCACCCTTAACGAGTTTACTTGATTCACTCTTTAATGGAGAATAATGACCGCAAATTTAATTTACAGAAATTGTTGTTGGGAATGCTAANGTAAATATGCTCAAACTATAAATTATATAAAGAAGGAAGATGCTAAGATTTTATGTTGTTCAATAAAAGAAAATGCAAAAATGCTATATGATTTGATAAAGGTAGTACCATAGTAATATAAGCCATCAATTCCTCATTTGATATATTAATATGACTTTTATTGCAATTATGAACATGAGATCTTAAAAAAAGTAAACGAAGAAATAGGATTTTGAATAATATATTCGAATTAAATATGAGATAATATATTACTAATATACCTATATTACTCTAATTGATATATATTATCAAGCTTTTTATTTTGACTCTAAATGTCTTTTTTTTTATGATTCCTTGTCCATAGGTAACTAGAAATATTAGAATTGTATAATATACTTTCAATAAATCTTTGAGTGCTGCATCATTAATATCATGAGCAGGTTTAAATTTGGTTTCATCTAATTTAAGTCCAGAAACTTAAAGTGTGCTATTAGCTAAGACAGCAACAGTCATTGTGAATTATGCTACAATACTATTTGGACTGATTAAAACTGGATATGGGTTTAATAATTCATGTTTAGCACATTCTTAAACAGCTAATTTAGCAGTAATTTCATCTTCAAATGATCTTAATGAGAAACATAAAGATGGGTATTTATCATAGACTTCTTACATGAATGCTCTTCCATGTTTAGTCTTTAATTGATATTATCTATCCAAAGCTCTTTTGTAAACAGTAGTTCTTAATTCAGACTAATTTAATTAAATTATTTAATACTTCTTTTGTTTTTCCATCTCCTGTTGTAATATAGACATCTAACACAATAACATCATTAACTTAGATTTCTTCTTCATCTACTCTTTATTCTTGTGTTTCTCTATTGATAATGACTTTATTTCCATCAATAAAGTGTCTCTTAACTTCATGACTTAAAACACCCTCTAATGGTGTACATTTGTGATCATCTGATATTTATTAAATAATTTTAGTTAAAGCTGTATTTGTGACTCCTGGTTTTATTGATCTAAATAAAGCTTAGACTGATTAATAGGCTGCCAATATGACATCTGCCTTTTATCCTTCTACTTAATCTTCACCTACTACTACTGTGTGTGCTGCAATGGCAATATATCCATCAATATGAACTCCTAATTCACTATGACATTATTATTAACATTTACATTTTGGCTACATCACCCTTAACGAGTTTACTTGATTCACTCTTTAATGGAGAATAATGACCGCAAATTTAATTTACAGAAATTGTTGTTGGGAATGCTAATCCTTTTTCAATACCTTTCTTGTTATAAACTTTTTGTAATTCTCCATTGATTTCTGAGTCACCAAAGGCACAAATAGTAGCAATATCAGCTTCTGGCAATAATTTAGTGATCACTTTTTCAAGTACAACTATATAATAATCAATTAAAAAATTTACCATTTACAATTTTACCAGCATTTTAATATTTATCTAACACTCCTGGAGTTGCTATTGATTCAAGTTTGTCTTACTCTGTTTATTATTAATCCATATTAAATTTAAATATTTATTTAAATCTTTATATATATTATGATCATATAAATATACTTATTTTAGCTAATTTATTCATCCACAAACTCCTAATTATTCCCACATATTCTCTTAATCATCATATTCATCTACTTTAAATTTTGGTTATTGCATTTTAAAATCTACCTCTGGAGTAAAAACCTTATCAATAGTAAGTATGAAAGCATCATCTAACATTCTTGGGATCAACATTTTTAATAGATTCGAGCTTTCCTCAATACAAGGATTAGCATTAACCTCAATGAGCCATAATTTTAAATTTTCATCAATCATAAAATCATAACCCAATATTTGCATCCCATATTTTCTATTTCTCTTATTTAATTTAGTTGAATTTAAAGTAAGTTTCACAATTTCCTTTATCTTAGGCCATCCATCCTTTCGAAAATCATATTTAGTTTCTTATTCACTATTGATTATCAACTATATCTTACTCTAATTATTTTTAGAATTTTTTTAAGGATAATTAATTTCCATCTTCAAATTATCCATAATTTTAAGCATTTTTTTAAACAGCATTATTTGTTAAATGAATATATCTATCTTTCTAATATGTTATAATTTAATTATACATTCTCTAAAGAAAATGTTGTTCCACTTGTTCTTATATATGCTTCCTTAAATAAAAAGTAATGCATTTCATGAGTAATCAATACCCAACATCTTATATCAAATTTCCTTCCTCCCAATAATAAAGGTTTTTCAATATATTTCTATATCACAAATTCTTTACATTCATAATTACCCTTTCCATAATAATATGATTTTATTAATGTTTCAACTTCCTCTAATGTATTAAAAACATGAACTCCTTCTCCTCTATTCCAATCTGCAGGTTTAAGTAACCATAAATATTGAGTCTTATTTGTTAATGTTTCTTGCATTTTATAAGTTTTGATTCCATTATAATTTACTTTATTTGCAGGTAGATTGGATACATAAAAATCAAAATCTAAATTATTTTTGGTAGATGTTTAAGGTAATGGATTATTAATACAGTAAAATTCAGTAAATTATTGTACATCCTTCATCCAATCTGAGTTCTTAAAATTGATTATGAATACCAAAGGAATGACATCGAATGTTTTCTCTATATTATTAAAGTATTATAGTAAAGATATTGATAAACCTATATTTATGAATATACTTATATACCTGATTTAGATGTAATGTTTTTATGGAACTCAAAAAAGTTATACATCATTCTTGTATATTAAATATCTGATCCTTAAAGTTTATTAAAATCCATGCCAAAATATGATTATTACCATATAAAATGTTTATATTAAAATTATTATGGTACAGCACTCCAAAATTATTCTCTTTTCTATAAAATACGTTTTACTAATTCTCCATTATTTCCAGGACCTATATAATAATTAAACTAAGTAAAATGGTATTTCTTTACTTTCAGTTTTGGCAATTCTTTTTCTCTATTAATTTTTAAGGCAGGGTTTTAAGATTAAATAATATTATTTCTTTATCGATTTGCTAATGGAGTATAATTATTAGAATGATTCTATCTTTTATAAGATTTTTCTAAACTTTCTGAAAGGTTTTTTGGATTTAATTGGTCTTGTTTATATTATCGAACTATTTAACGATTTGTGATAGAAGGTAAAACAGGTATTTATACTTACTCCTCTGTAATATCAATTAAAGGAGATTCTTTTCCTGCTAATAATTTATCCCTCTATTATTAACGTGCTATATAGTATCTTACTCCATCTGCATAAATATTTAAACTTTTTGCAAGATCAGGTTTTTATTTGATTATTTTTTATAGTGTTTTTTTTTATCTATCATCTGCTTTACATAATAATTGTAAATTGTGAAAATTTCCTAATGATTTACTTTATATTTCTTGCTATTTCTCTTTTTTCTTAATTTTCTTTTCTTTTGAAGTTGATGCCATTTTCGATTAATATATTAATCAATAATATTATAAAAAATTTCTTTGTATATTTACATACTCTTGATGATTGTGTTTATTATCTTAGGAAATATTTGTTTGTTAGAATAATTTTGGTTTATATTTATAATTTTATTTGCAATATTGGATTATTAAATAAATTATATTAAATATATAAATGTACGATTTTACAAGAATGCAAAAATTAGTTGATAGAATGTAAAAACTCTAACCTTCCAATCCACCTCCTGATACTAGGTTTTTACCTGAAGAGTTAAAGAAAGATAAAATTGTGGATGATCCTCAAAAAAATGTAAAATAAGCAAAAAGATAACTCCTAATCAAGAACTATAAGGGTTCTAATGGGTTAAAGCCTATTGAAGATGAAAGGCTTTTACTTATTTAAAAAGAGAATTACCTAAAGAAAAAGTAAAGAGAATTAGAGATGGAGCAAGTCAAACAAGAATTGGCTGAATAAAAAAAATAAGAAAAATTAAAATTAGAATAAGAAACTTAAAGAGCTCTATTAGTTGTCAAAGAAAAAAAAGAGTAAAAAATAAATAAATTGTAATAGGATTTCATAAGTAGAAAAAGAAGAAAAAATTAAAAAGCGAAATGATAATGAATTTTAAAAGAGAAAGTAAAAGGCAAATAATTCAATATAAATGTCTTCAATTGATGCATCTTATGTATCCTAAAACTTAAATACCTCATTAATTAAGAAATAAATTTTAGATTATCATACTCTACCAAAAGAACAATACAATCGTATTTATCGTCAACCAGTAAGCCCACCAAAATGAATTAAATAATATATTATTCATTAAAATATATGGTAAAACATTATCATCTTTAAAAATTTAATTTAATTAATTCATTTCTAAAATTTAATCAATTTCACTATTAAATATTATTTTTTTTACTCAATCAATATTTATAATAAATTAATTAAAATACAAAAAAATATTTATAGAAATTCATTGTAAATAGAACTATTAATTAATAATGATATAGATATTTATGTATTGTAAATATATTAGTATATTTTAGATATAATAATATTCATTTAGAAATTAATGCTTATAATAAATTAGTATGTATTTCCGAAATGGCTTTTTACATATCATCTTGAAAATTAGGCCTTTTTTAAAAAAACCCTTGGAATTAATATTCATCATATATTCCAATTATGTATCTCTCATCTTCTAGATTTTCAACTTTTTGCAATTTAACTGTTAATTTTCCATTCAGATATTCTATTAAATTTAATTAAATTAATCTATAATTTGGATTTGGGTTTACTATTTTAAGGTCAAAATATTTCATAAAATGCATTTATACTAATGATACCATACATTTGATAAGAAAATATGAACCTTAAATTTCCATTAAAGCAGGTAGAATATGTACGAGTATAATTAAATCCCCTACAATCATCTATTATTGAGTTTTAGTCATATCTAGTTAAGTTTCTTTCCAAAATAATACTCTTTTTGATATAAATATGCCTCTGTCAATATTGGTTTAATCAAAAAATTATAAGTAGGATAGAAATTTAAGTTCTGGAATCATAAAATCATTTGTACAATAGGTTAGTAAACTTGACATTAAATATTTAGTTGAAATAGTAAGTTACATATATGATTAATCAATTTCTTTTTCTGTTAATGGTTTATCTGGATTCTAAGATAATGATATATAATTTACAATGAAATCGATTTCTTTAATTTTGCTTAAATAATTATCTACTTTAGCTAATACCATTTTACACCAATCCTTGATTCTTTTTAAGGCTACTGGATATGATGTTTTTTAGATAATAGCTTTACATTATGCTTAATGTTTATATAGTTTTCTCCAATAGATTTTATTGGGTTTACAGTATATTTTCCACCTCATAGCAAATCTCACAAAATTGAATAAATTTCTTAATTTAGAGTTTTCTAATTTTTTTAATTATTGAAAGTCATTATTCTATAAATAAATTTAAAAAATACATCCATAAAAAAACTTTATTTAGTTAATTAATTGGATCCTTTAGAAATTAAAGGAATGGAATGGCGACTACTTCTCTTTGAATTAGTAAAGTGAGAAACAGAATTTTAAGTTTTGGTTTTAGTTTTTACCTTTAATTTACCTATAGAAGTTGAGTTTGAGCGTTTTTCTTCTGAGTTTTATTTAGATCTTTGGGAATCAGGGTTATATGGATGTTTATAGGGATTCAATACATATTGATTATGATGATATAATTATTAAGATCCAGAATGTAGATATTATTAATTATAAGGAGAATAGGCTTATAAAAATGATTGTTATGAAATAGGTTATGGTAATTATTAATAAATAATCTAAGGTGGTTATATAATAGGTTTTTGAGGTTATTGAACTTGTTGGAAAAATGTATATCTCAATGAGTTAATTTCATGTTTTATTTCATATAATTGTTCTTATTGGGGAAGCTTTGGCAATTTAAGATGAAGAGTTTGGACTTGAGTTTTGAGATGATCAAGTTCTTGCTTTAAAATTTGAGTTCTATTAATCTTGATTATCCATTTATAATGTTACTTCTTTTTATTCTTTTAAAAGTCGTTTGAGTGTTTGACTTTATTTATCTAATGCTTATTACATTTGAGCCACTTCTTGATTTAATTTTTCTTCAGGGAATGGTAATACTTTTTGTAATTAAAATGATTTATCCATTTGGTTTAATTATCTTATTCCACTTTTTTGACTAGGTTGATGACTCATAGGGATATCATAAGATGGATTTATGAATTTATCAATTAAGTCTAATTAAACTTTGGCATCCTCATAACCTTAATATTATTTCTGATTAGATTAGGTTCTTCTTTCCCGAAAATACATAATTTAATTAATTTTAAAGAGTAATATAAATTTGTTAATAATCTGATCATAGTCTCTAACTCTGAAATATTAAATTAACTCTACACTATTTTTATTTGATTATAATATAATATTATTTTAATTCAATGTTAGACGATCAACTCAAAGCATTAATATAGAAGAATAATCTCAAAATTGAATAACACTAAACCAAAATGATGATTAGATTTCCTTAAACTCCTCAAGTTCGTGATTCACAATAATAAGTAAATTAATATTAATCTTAGTCCTAATTGTTTACAAAGTCAAACAACAAAAGTAGCAGCATTGATAAGAGTTATTTTAGTTGTGTTCCAACTAGAAAGTCAACAAAATAAAGCTTTTTTGTTCCAAAATCTACAGTCACATCATAATATCTAGATTCATAGGCTTTTTAAGTATATTAAACTGAGGATATTCAAAATACTCAAATTTAAGATTATGTGCAATAGATTTAACATTCTTAAATGAATATTAATGATAATATAGATATCTCACCTATGAATTCAACAATTCTTAATTAATTGAAAAGAGAAAAAGAGATCATCTCATAATAACATCAATTATTAATATCATAAATGTCAAGAGAAATCGAAAACAATAAAAGATAATATCAAATATCTGAATAAACTTTATAACAGTAAATTATTCAATTATAAAATGAATTAAATGAATATAAATAGTATAAAACAAAAAGCTTAGATTTAGAAACTAGTCTATAATAATTTATTATTGAAAATAATGAACTCAAATCTAAATTATAAGAATAAAATAAATGGCTATTTGAATTATAAGATTAATTTGACTTGATTCATACAAAAATGACTGATATCAAATAGAAAATTCAAGACACTAAACATTTCTCCAATTAACTATCATAAATAACCTTATATTTATTGAACAAACAAACACCTCCTCTAGATTTCTTAGTATTTATGAATAATCAATCTAAACAATTATAACATGAATAGTAATAAGAAACTGAATTCAGAAATAGAAAATAATAAATTAAATAATAACATTTTCAATCTAATCCATTTCCCATAGCAAAAGAATCATTTGCTTAAATTTATTAATTTTAGATTGAAAACTCTATGATACTTAATTAAATAGTCAAAGATTTGAGAAATAATGTTGATCGTTACTCTTAATAATACATAGCAGAAGTTGGACTTCATTTAATGTGAATTCTTTATATAACTTGTTTTAATAGTATTATTATTATTATTATTATTATTATTATTATTATTATTATTATTATTATTATTATTATTATTATTATTATTATTATTATTATTATTATTATTATTATTATTATTATTATTATTATTATTATTATTATTATTATTATTATTATTATTATTATTATTATTATTATTATTATTATTATTATTATTATTATTATTATTATTATTATTATTATTATTATTATTATTATTATTATTATTATTATTATTATTATTATTATTATTATTATTATTATTATTATTATTATTATTATTATTATTATTATTATTATTATTATTATTATTATTATTATTATTATTATTATTATTATTATTATTATTATTATTATTATTATTATTATTATTATTATTATTATTATTATTATTATTATTATTATTATTATTATTATTATTATTATTATTATTATTATTATTATTATTATTATTATTATTATTATTATTATTATTATTATTATTATTATTATTATTATTATTATTATTATTATTATTATTATTATTATTATTATTATTATTATTATTATTATTATTATTATTATTATTATTATTATTATTATTATTATTATTATTATTATTATTATTATTATTATTATTATTATTATTATTATTATTATTATTATTATTATTATTATTATTTATTATTATTTATTATAAAATAAAAATATATTAAATATAAAGGTTTATTAAAATTCTATTTCATTAATCTACCATAACTAAACTTCTTTGATAATTTAAATTTTAAAATGCTTGTTATGTATTTGGTCCATTTAAACTAGATAATGAATTCATAGAGAAGATCTTTAATTTATTGTAATCAGATTATGATTTACTAGAAATTTAATCTATTAAGGTCAATGATCTTTACGGAATCAATGAAGCCAGAGTTTTTTCATCTAAAGGTGCTCTACATAGAGGACATATCTAAATTTTGATCAAAAAGTACTTTGATCTTTTAAATCCATAAAGTCAAGCATTCAGAATGGTAAATGTGTTTGCAATAAGTCACTTTCACATCATGTTATAATATGAATATCTCTAAACAAATTGAACAATATAAATCTTTTTCATTTATCTCTTCTTACATTATTTCTTTGATTTATTCAAATTTATGTGTTGGAATATAAAAATTTATAAAATTTATAAATTTTTTTTCAACATTTTATTCTATTTTTATTGGAATTTATGTTTATTCTAATTTCTTTTTATAGAATTTTACACCACAACAAACAAGTAAGAAAAAGATTAACACAAAAAGTGGAATAAAAATCATCATCATAATTTTTTATATTCCATCAGAACTATTATTATTTAAAACAATGCTAACATCATATTCACTATAAATCTTGAAAATGAAGTAAGCATTTAATTTAATTTAACTTTCATTTTATAAAGCCTCAGTGACATTTCTGCAATAGTATATTTTATCATAAGTTAATTACAGTGTATTTGTTATCAATAGAGAACCTTAGTCAATAAAAGGTGTTTCTACATAACATTATTGTCTAATTGGTATTTAATTTGATAAGATTCTCTAAAATGTTGTTCCTGTTTAATATAAGGGTAAATAATATAACTTATTTGAAGATAATTTTAATTGATCTTTGATATTAAAACCAATTATACTACAGTCATTACCAAAAGTACCTTCATAACATTCACAAACTCCATAAAAACAACTTCCTCCATTTTTGCATTCTCTAAGTTAGAAGTTTATAAATACTTTGCGCAATTATATAATGATTAAATTTTAGCAGATATATTAAAAGTTGATTAAAGTTTTGAATATGCACCAATAAATAAGTTTGTATTATCAATATAATAAACATTAAAATTTCTTTAAAATGTCTATGATTTTTAATTCTTTGTTAAAGAAATTGATTGTATTTATTGTTTCAAATCATAAGCATTTATGTCAATTTTACAATTTTCTCTAAACATAATAATATTAGAACTTTTATATCAAATCGTAATCAGTCATCTTATTAACATCAGGCTTATTATCACAAACTAGTAGAAATGGAATTTCTCCATCTTCAAATGTAAGTGTAATCGTAACTTTTTATTTTTCAGATAGATATTTATGAAACATTTCATTAATGCCAAAATTCTATAATCCCTTTACATTATAGTATCGTTAATCTTTTATTTAACTGAAACTCGTTTTCCATAAGCAAAATAACATCAGAGTAAGCATGTATAATAAATTTCAATATAATAAAATACTTAGAAACAAAGAGAAACACCAGTAGTTATTAAAAAAATTATCAATAAAACTGTTAATTTAGGGGCCAAACTATTTGAATTTTCATTATTCATAAAATTTAAGTTCAAAAGAAAATCATAAATTAATTAACTTCATTGATGAATTAATACTATCTATATGTTGGCTATATTCTATAGATTAAAATAATTAGTATGTTACAAATAGTTATTAAATGATAAAAATTAAATTTAAAGGATAATCAAAAAGATATCTTTAAAAAGCAACCAATAACTTGTATAACTACCCATAAAATTGTAAATTCAATTGTCAATGTTAAAAAGAACATTCATTTTCAATAATAATTATTAGGTTTAATTAATTTTTATATTAGAAGAGGGACATATGATAATTTAGTTATAAATTAAGTCAATAAAATATATTAAGACTAGATGAATTTTAGATTTTTATCTTTTTTTAATAGAGAAGAAGGGGGGTAATTGATGATATGGTTTTAAAAAAATTGAATTAAAATATACAGATGAAAATTCAAAGACAGATTTAAAGAATTCAATTCATTTAATTGAATTTTTGTATTAAAAAAAAGATTGTTAGATTAATTTGAATATACATAGTTACAATTTAAAATTTCTTTGAAACAGTAGAATACCATATCAGAAACAATTATTGATATTAAGGAATCACATTTTCTAATTAGAAGATTTTAAATTTTAGGGATTTTAACAATTTTTAATTATTTCATTTTAAATATTTTATTGATAATTTATAATAATTTGATTTACATATAGGATCTGAATAATTAAGATATTTTTAAATAATATCCTGTTTTTTAATAAATTTATATTAATTAATAATAAAAATAATAAAAAATTAATAATGAATTAAGAGTAAGGTTCACAATCTGATAATTCTGAAATTTTATAATTCTAAGACATTCATGAGATTGAATAATAATAATTAAACGAATTTATAGAAAATGAAAAACCTAAACCAAAATAGCTATCATAATAATATTAAAATTAAATCTAGGAATATTTTTAACATTTAAATAAAGAAGAGAATAAAAATAACATAAAGAAATTTGTGGAAGATTAATTCAAATTGTATTCTAAAGATGTAGAAAAAATAATTAAAAAATAATATGATAGATTAAAATCTGAGAAAGAATCACATATTAAACAAATAAAATAGTTAATATAGAAGCATTAATAACAAAATTACTAAAAAAATTAGGAAATAGATGAATTAACTTAAAAATTGAATGAAGCAAATAATTTATTAAATATAAGTACTTTTAAAGATGATAATGTATACTCAAAGTTAACTCATATTAGTAAAATGTTAGAAAAAACATGTGAGACAACTATTTAAGCAAGTTAATAATTAGGTATTTAAAATTTAGATCAAATACAATAATAAATTCAAATGATAAAATAAAACATTACAGGAGAAACTGATATATAATTAAATAGTTTCTAAACTTAATTAAATCAAAAAGAATAATTAATAGCATAATTATAATAAGAAATATTGGATTATAAAAATTAAGAAAAAAATAACAATTCATCAGCTATTTTAACTAAAAAGATTGAAGAATTCTTATAAAAATATTAAAATTAGTTTAATTAAGCAGATTAAATCAATTAGAAGACTAATTAAATTGTAGAAATTAATAAAGAATTGAATAAACTCAATACTTTATTGAAAAATGATAATGAAAAATTAAAAAATCAATATGAAGAAGAAAAAAACAAATTAATTCATAAATAACTTGAAGGATGTTTTAAATTATAGGATAGATCTCTGTTATATATATAATTAGGTCTCAAAATATTTTAATAATATTACTATTCTCATATCGATAATAACAAAAAAATATAAAGTTAAATAGATAGGCTAAATAAATTCCATTAAAATTATTAAAAAAAAGAAAATTTCAAATTAAAAGATTTAGAACAAATTGAATAATTTTATATTAAATAAGAATAAGAGCTTAAGAATTTATTTGATGATTCTCTCAACGAATATAAAAACTTATTAAATGAAATTACATAGAGAAGAAAATAAATGATATTTTAATAGAATGTATGAGTTTGCTTATTTTATTAAATATATATTATAAAATTATGATTTCTATTTTAGATATAATTTTGCGAATATATAAATAAATTTGAAGTGGAATAACTATTGTTTAATTAAATAATTATATTAAGAGAACATAAAAATACTTTAAATTATTATTATTTTAATAAAAATAAAAGTAACAATATTATTAATTAATGAAGATAAATAGAAAATCAATTAGGTTGACTATTCTTTATTTTATACATTTTTAAATATAATCTCATTATTATGCATCAACAACCTCTTGATTATCACCAGGATTTCTTTATGATCTATTCTTGTTATCATAATGATGTCTATTAGATCCTCTGTTTGGTTTCTATTAAGGCTTTTTTGTTCTAGAAATATAAAAAATTTCTTAACCTACGTTCTATTGTGATATATTCTTCATCTGAACTGTTTTGATCTTAATTATTATTATTTTAATCATGTTCTTGAATTTCTTTCTTCTCTAACCATTCTTCTCTCTAGGGTCTATCTCTATTATGGTATCTATTTCCTCTATATTATTTATTGTTATCTCCATTATTATTATTTCTTCTGTCGTTATGATAATTTTTTTTATATCCTTTTCTTTGATCATCATGATTATGGTGAT